CGCGTAGGTAATAGTAGGATCCGGGCATATTGGGTTTTGACAGATATCGCTAGCAGCATATCGAGCATAGAGGTTGCGTAAATAGTCCAAAACAGTTTCAGCTTTTGCGCTTTCATCATCGTCTTTCTTCTTTGAGCAGTAAAACTCAACGTACTTCATCTTGAATCGAGGGTCTAACACAGAAGCAGTTGCCAAAACCAGAAACATATCATTCCAATACTTATCAAGCCTCTTCAATATCCACTTAGCTTTACCGAGGAAGTAATCATTATCAGCACTCGCGAGCTCTTGGTTCAACATTACCTTCAGCTCCGCAAGAAGATGGAAATAGACATTAGATGTCGAATACTCTCCCTCGAAAAGCACCTTTGCCACTTTATAGATGCAACCAGCGAGCTTGCAGAAAGTTTCAATTAATCTTTATCCAATCTTCATCAGAGTTATAAGCATGAATCGATATGCTATATTGAATATTGAAGCATAAGTCAATGAAAACACCGTCAACTACACCGTAAATATGTCGTGATTTTATTAAACACGAACCGATCAATTATAAATCATGAGATTACTTATCTCGGAGACGTAGGAGAAAGAGTTATACTAAAATCGATCAACCAATATGAAAACCTGCTCAACAAAGAAATTTATCAAAACCAAAAACGAAGAACCCACTCTCAGCATGAATATAAGCATGAAAACGATAATTGTGACTTCAATTGCAAAATGCACCGTATAATATTCAAGACATATATAATTACGCATGAACATATTATATAGGTGTAATTCAGAATTTAGGGTAAGCAAAAAAAAAAACCAATTTTAAATAGACAATCGGGATCAAGTTTATCAAATACACCGTAACTTTGTGAACCATTATGAAAATCCACCACCAATCTTTGATGATAAAGTTCTCGGCCCTATTCTCTCCAAAACAAATTTTAAGAAAATCAGTTACCTTGATGAACATGTAAAATAATAACCTTCTATGTAAAGAAGGATGAACCCGATTCATGATGTTGGAAGAATCAGAACGACACGAAAATTTCCTATTAAAAAAGGAGAAGAACATAAATAAAACAATCATAAGAAAAAAATTTAATGTGGTTCTTTGATTAAGAAACCTAAAATACAACATATACCCGAAATCATAAGGAAATAACGAACCAAGCATGAGACAAAAATGTGATCATAAATAAAAGGATATTAAGAAAAGCAAGAAAAACGATAGAACATAAAGCTAAGATTGTTTAGCAAAAAAAAAAAACATAAAACCTAAGATTAGAACGATACGAAGACTAATAATACCAAAAAAAGATAGGCTTGCTAGAAATAAAAAAATTATCAGAAATAACAGTATCAAGAATATATTTCTACATACCAAACAAAAAGGCAAAACAAATGTGAAGAAGAAATATATTTCTTCGACTAAACCCTAAATATAATATATATAAGAAAACATGGAGGTTGCACCTAGGGTTTTAATTAAAAACGATTTCTAACGAGGCATCTAAGTTAAAATTAGGAATATTTAATTAAAAAATGTCAATGGCAGTGCACGTAATTAAGGGTAATATCGCCAAAGTAAGTCTCAAACTCACTCTTGAGACGACACTTGAGACGACACGTAGGATTTTCGACGTCACAATTATAAATATAGAATAGAATAGAATAAAATATTTAATTAAAAAATGTCAATGGCAGTACATGTAATTATATCGATTCATTAAGGGTAATATCGACAAACCAAGTCTTAAACTTACTTTGGAGACGACACGTAGGATTTTCGATCTCACAAT